ATCACGGAAAGGATTTCCAACAGACTAATGTAGACCACTCTCAGTAACCGTTTTAGCTGATTCTATTGCAACAACACCAATTCGATTGCCCCATTAAACGATTCAGTTGATTGTAGCGATGGTTGGTATACGTGTCAGCATTGGAATTAGAAATATGATAATCTACCAGTGGACCTACTATACCCAACATGGCATGTGGTCACCGCTTCACTGTGGTCACTCCATGCATCATCATCCCAACTTCTTTGCTAGATCATCTTCTACCAATTTCATAACCATACCGAATAAAAAGAAGAGATCAGGTATCTGTAATTATATGCCGGTGAGACTATATGAAAAAGTCACGGGTTAGCAGACTTCTGCAATAAAATTAAGAAAAAAAAATCTAAATTTAATATAATTTGTGGATGGTGACTAGCAGTGGAATCTAGGATGCGCAATTCGTCCTATTTGGGACTCGTTCAGACATCGTCGAAGCATCTGCACAAGAAGCCAACAGACATGTCAACCTGAGACCGAGCACTACGGTCCAATCAATCGACGAGAAAATCTAAAATTCAATTGAATCTAAATTTAGATCTTCTTCAGGCTTTACTCTAATTTACATAGACTTATATATAAAATTTTAACCAATGACGGTGATTTTAGGAATCATATGATAATAATAATGTGGTAAATGTTTTGAACGAAATTAATAACGATGATTATTATCGAACATGCGAAAAATGACGTCACATCCCACTGTATTTACCAATTTGAATGTTCATGTGGACACATACATAGGGAGGACTCATCAATCTCTGCAAGTAAGGGCTTCAAAGCATACTCCTAAATGGCTCCAGAAATGAATAGAATCTTCAGAACCCATTAATGGTGAGAACAGGAGACCTAGCTCTTCTATTGAGAAACATATTACAGAGGAGACAGGACATAAAATTGACGTTAACAGATCTTTTAAACCTATCTGTAAAACGTGTTTGGGGCGTATCCTAAAGTTTGTGGAAGCCCTAGCAATTAGAAAGTTCAAGCCACCTTTATGCGTTCAAAAACAATTCGTCATTAAAGTCGACATTAAACCTTCTTTGGTAAACTTTGTTTTGATACCATAGCAGATGTACTTTTACCTCTGCTATTTGGTTTAGTGGTCTTCATTGTTATTTTCACCTTCAATATGTTCTTTTAACTTGACCTAAGTCTATTTCTATTTCTCACCTCTTACCTCTTTATTATTTTCATATATACACATTCCTTTGACAATTCCGTGTGTGATCAGATTGTTCGAAATGTGCGTTGCGCAAATACCACATTACACGATTCAGACAAATTACGTCTTCCTCCTTATTTCTTTCTGTAAATTCATAAAGCGAACTAACTGTTTTAGATTATAATGATAACAAAATATTGATAATTACGTTTATGTAGGTGATAAGAAAAGCAAAGATAGTATATGAATATATGCGTACATGTAGACAATTCAATAAATCAATAAATTAGGTCAAATCTTAAAAAGTGAAGTGGAACGATAATCAGAGTTTAAATAAATATTATAAAAGTACGAAGGAGATGGAAAGAGAGGGTGGGAGGGGTTTGAATAGAATTCACCTAGGCCAAGGGAGAGACAAAGGTAGAACAAACTTCTTTTGTTGTATGCAAAGACTAGGATTGTTCTCTCGAATGCATTCCCATAGCTTCGGCTGGGTGTAAGAGACGGGTTCGGATTCCATTCGAAAGGCTCGATGGAATACGATAAATAACTTTGAAGGCATTATTTTTGTCCACCTGGTGACCGCTATCAATCAAATGAGCGGCAGTAGAACTTCTTATAGATTTTATTTGACCTTTTCCAAACCATTGAGGAAGGAAGATGCTCCTTAACGTGTTTGTAAACTGTCTAGTTGTTCGCCCTATAGAGCTTTCTCCGCAGGAGCAACTAAATTTATAGATACACATCGAAGTGGGATTTATGTAGTACAGACTTTATTTATTGTTCCCTTGGGTTCCTAGTGGAACATAGGGCTTCAACTGCACGCCTCCACTTGCTTCTGTCTTCTGCTGTACTTTTCACTTGCCTCCATGTTAATCCATACTGTTTCAACTCTTCTTCACATGATCTTCTCCATGTCACCCTTGGACGTCCCACTCGCCGCTTCCCTTTCGGATTCCACTCGGCGGCCTGAAGCGCGATGTCACCCAGCGGCCTCCTCAGCGAGTGTCCAATCCATCTCCACATTCTCCTGCATATTTTTTAGGTGACTGGTTCTTGTTTTGTTTGTTCTCATAGTTTCTTGTTGGTGATTCTTTCCGGCCATCTGATCTTCAGTATAGAGCGAAGGCAGTTGTTGTTGATAAAGGTCTCCAACAGGCTGTTGGAAATATTCTTTGTGACACACTGGCCAAGTTTCTGATCCGTATAGAAGAACTGACTGACTTGACGTTTGTATTGAAAATCCGAATTTCGTTGTTGATGCTGAATGACAGCGGAAGATTTCCAGATTGGTTTCAGGTTGATGAATGTGTTTCTAGCCTTCTCGATTCTCGATTTAACATCTTCGTCAAATAGTTTTCCAACAGTCAGTGTTGGGAGTTATTGATTCTGCACAAAAGGACGCCATTTAATCTGACCCACAGTTGAACTGGACTTAAAAATTCCTTATCATACGCTTGGAAAATGATAAATATCTCTTAACTACAACAGTTTTCGTAATACAACAACTCCAAATATAAGTATGATCACGGATTAATATCAGTAAGGGATTTATTGAAAACTAAACTAAGGCGAAACAGCTGATCAGGACTCCCTGATGGTGATATTGTCTAGTGATTAATGGGCGGCAGGATGGAAGTGCATGAAGTTCTAGTGGACAGTGGTGACCAGTGGAATCCACAACATTGGGTGCAACGACACTGGCGTACTCCCGATGACTCCCAAATGAAGACTAAACAACTGTTCATTTCTCTCTTGTTTTCAATGGTTCTCAAACTCATATTAGTCCGTGATCTGCTCGAACTTGAAAATGATCAAATCCCTACAAACTAACACTTGTGAATTAAGTGAGATAGATTTTAAAACAAAAGAGAACCGGCTGTATGAATTTCCAGGGGCGACATCTCCCTATAAAACCAGTCAAATTTTATCCTGGAGAATAGCAAGAGAGAGAAAAGCTTCCAGAATTAAATTCTACGAGCAGTGTCTCGAAACCGATGATTATCCACATCGGATCGACTTCCAACTCAGAACAGTTTACATTGCATCACAAAACCAAATGTTAATTCATCACCACCTTGTGGTCAGATATAGTCATCAAATTCGACAGTCTACTGGAAAGAAATTTTCAATTTTCGTTGTATCGGATAAACTTGATCAACTCCACAAAAATTGCGATTGTGTTTGTTCATTCTTTAGTCAAATTCAGATAAAGCGACCGACTTTATGTGCGTCAGTGACACAGAGGTTAGGACTCTCGCTGACCATGCACATGGTCCGGGATTCGATCCCCTGACGACGCATACCTGATACCAATCAATGGTCGGCCTGGAAAATTTGGACTACCGATATCACATGCTGAAAATTCCATACTTGTACCAAAAATACTGTGTGGTTTCAAGCTATAATAAAAAAATGGATTTTCATGTATTGGTTTGTAGGGATTTGGTTGATTGGTTACAGGATTTGATCATGAGTTGCGTACTGACGAAGAGTCCCAAACCAAGACGAAATAGCTGCCCAGTACTCCCAGGTTTTCCAATGGTTTTCTAACCAATGTCAGCCAATGATAAAATCCTATAACCAATGAACTAAATCCCTACCAACCAATGTAACGACAGAAGGCAAGAGTCAGGCAACAGATCGTTTATTAACGAAAATCAACACATATTTATATATTTTAATGTACATTATTGTAGATTATTGTTAGTAGAAAATACAGTCTTTTGATTGGTTGTTTCTCACAGAAAGTTAACCTTGCATCGCTTTGTGGCTGTGTCAGATCATCCATATGCTAACTGTTTCCGCCTACGCAAAGCCTTTGTTCTCATTTTCTCACCACCAATATTGGGGACATAAACATTGACTTCAATTGCTGTCTACCAACTTTGGCTAACAGTCAGCTCTCACCACACCAATACTTGAATATCAATGAGATGGTCACTGGCCACTGGCCCTATTCAGGTAGGTAGTTACCTGGGGTTCCAGTGGCAAGTCATGACCAGTAGGGTGCAGTAGGTGGGGTGTGAGGACAAATACTCACCGAAGACATTGACTAGCGGTTGCGCTATATCGTGAATAGGCAGAAGTTAGAATTCATGCACTGGCCGTTGGATTGGGTCTCAGTGGCCTAATGGTATACGAGCTCGCCATGTAACGTAGAAGGTCGTGGGTTCGAACCCTGGTGGGTGCGTACTCATGAAGAGTCTCAAACTAGGACGAAACAGCTTTCCAGTACTCCCAGGTTTTCCAATGGTTCTTTTACCAATGTCAGCTCATGCTGAAATCCTGTAACCAAAAATAGATTTCATTGTAATTTTACTATTCATTGCCGAATCGCTTCATCTAGGAAAATAAAATGTAGTACACATATCACAATAACACAGCAATGACAGCTGTTTACCATTCGTAGATTAAATTTTATATAATATCTAATATATATATGGGAAATGAAACTTATTGGGTAAGCGACTAATATCGTCAAAACAAATGATAACGCCAATTGGGATTGGTTAAACAATACGACCAATAGGAATGATATAGAGTTTACAGTTGTCCAAACCATCATACATGTTCACATCTTTCCTGATGTCTTTTCATTTTTACAAAATGAAGATTTTCACACTCAATCAGTTGTATGCATGATATATGTTGAACACTATACACAAAAAGAGAAGGTATCCATGAAAAAAGGGAAATAAAAAAGGTCAACAACACTTCTGGTCAACTTTAAACAGTTTTAATCTGTTGTGAGCAAATAGTTGTTATCTTTTGCTCATGTTCTGTAATGTCATGAATGCTTACAGAAAAAAAACAGAATATCAAGTTGAATATATTTCAAGAATTGCACCACCTTATGCAATCCTTATTCTATTTGGATTTATTACTATCCCTATACATACGTTTATTTTACATAATTAACTTGATTATCGAATTATCCAGTATGAATTCTGTAAAACAGATCACTTTTTATGCCAAGGAACATCCGGAACCGAATACCCTGTTGGGGAATATATTTACTGCCAGTGGAATATTAGATAGTACAGTGAAGAGTATTCGATTGGAGGCACTGGAATCTCAGTGGGCAGGTTGTTTTCGTATCGATCGGCGTACAGGGGATTTATACACGACGAATGAAGCAAAACACATTCTGGATAGTGAAAAGCTATGCATGAATAATCAAAATAATAATAAAAGAATAATATCAAGTGGAGTTTATACCCCGACGAGGATGAATATTCACCATTACTGTACAGTTAATTTACTTATTTCAATAAATAATCGTATCCTTATCACGATTAATGTACAAATTGAAGATATTAACGATAATGCTCCAGTTTTACCAGACTCTAATTTACAAAGGATATTTATTAATGAAACATCTCTACCAGAGGTGACAAGAATCTCGTTGAAACCAGCTTATGATGCAGATTTCAATGGATATAATCAATTGTATTACTATCTTAGTATTATTAATGATAATAATAATGACCTTGATGATAGTATAAATCCTTTTCGTATTGAATACAAGTCACAGTTGAATGGATCTAACATGTCTGACGATTTAAATCTAATTTTAACAAAACCTTTAGATTATGAAAGTCAGTCAGAGTATAAAATGAACCTGACAGTCTGTGACGGTAATCTCAAAACAAAGTATACAATTGTTCATTGTTCATCACAGATGCTAATGGTTAGTGTGAATAATATCAACGATGAATTGCCATGGTTTGAAGCGACTAATTATACTGCTGTTATCAAAGAAACTACACTCATTGGCAGTGATATTTTAAAGGTGACTGCTAAGGACAACGACGCTAGTCCATACAATGAAATCTATTATCGTATATTATCGCCTAGTTCAGATAGGTTGTTAATGTTCAATTCACAAGATTTATTTCAAATTCAACCGAGAACAGGTGTTATCAGTTTGGCGAAACCGCTTCCTAAACCAGGGGAGTATAAGTTTCTTGTACAAGCTGTTGACAATGCTGACACTGGCGACTATGACACGTCAGTCAATAATAATAATAATAATAATAATAGTTCAACAGGGGATGCACATCGTTTAGCCAAAGGTGTAACACACGAAGCGGTCAGTAATGCCCATAATAATAATAATAATATTGCCAGCGTTTATATTCAAGTATTGGATGTGAATAATCATGCGCCTAGAATTGAAATTCAACAAACTCATGATTCTGTATTGCACTACTCAAATCCTCCTCCCACTCAACCACCACCTCTTAAAAGCATAAATGGTAATTATACAAAATTTATACTATTAAATATTTCTGAAAATGTCTTGATCAATACACCGATAGCTTATTTCAAAATTACTGATGAAGATCAATTGAAGAATGCTGAAACAACCTGTAAACTAATACGTTCCAATGATGGTGAACCGTTTCTTTACACCAGAAAAGATAACAATTATCAAGCGGATTTATTCTTCAAATTAATACCTGTGAATCGTATCAGTGAACATGTGACAATACAAAAGTTAGTGTTAGTCAGACAGTTAGACGCTGAAGATTTACACGAAGATCTGCTACTGAAAGAAGTTGAACCTCCAGGGAAGTTAGCAAGTAGCATTGCTGGCTATCTGGGCATACTACTGGTGTGCAGTGATTTTGGTACACCGAAACTATCCACATCTATGCCTATTATTATTGCAGTTGATGATGTTAATGAATTTTATCCAAACATCGAGGTGGTGAAGTCGTCAGCATATGCATCTTTAGTATTCAAGAGTCAATTTAATCAAACCTACATTTATGACGTGAATATAACAGAAAATATCCCGATCGGATCACACATCGTTCAGATCATTGCTACCGATAAAGACATCAAAGCCGTCATCGAGTTTGTACAGTCTACCAAGTTGACAACACCGCCATTTATTATTGATAAATCTAAGGGTGTTCTAAAGACGAATGCTGAAATAGACTATGAATACACTACTAATTACAAACTGGTCATTCATGTACATGATATGAAACCACCAGAGTTGTCACTGACAACAACAGTCACACTGAATATTTTCATTGAAGACATGAATGACAATCCGCCGGAGTTTATCTCTCCGCCGCCGAGTGAAATTCAATTCGATGGTTATACAGTTGTAGAGCCTATACGAAAATATCAGAACAGCTTAAAAATTATCGAGTTTGAAGAAGAAACTATTCACACTAAACCATTGGGTAGAGTTCGAGCTGTAGATCGTGACAGTGGCAGGAATGCTGAAATAATTTATTTTATTGCCGAGATTTCAACTGATTTGGCAGGTGATCCGTTGAACAGAGAGAAACTCATCAGCGGGATTAATAATAATAATAAAGCTTCTAGTAATTTTTCAAGTCTACCAAAAATACTAATCGATGCAGACGGTGCTTTATGGTGTGAAGGAAAGTTGGATAGAGAGAAGCTACCGATTATTGATTTAGTGATTGGTGCTCATGATTTAGGCGAACCGAGATTAACCTCTTACACAAAGGTAAGAATTATCTTAAAAGATATCAATGATAATCAACCAGAATGGCAATTTCCAACTGAGAAAGACTTTTTAGTCGCCGTTTCAAAATCTGTCCCCATTGGGACAATAATTACGCGTGTTCGAGCCACGGATAAAGATGAACAGTCTAAAAATGGTCTTGTAAATTATTATATAGCAGATTTAGTAGCTGGGGACAATGAGATCACCTCTAAATCAGAGTTGTTGACAGGTAAACTCATTGCACACATTTTTGAAATGGATTTAAAATCGGGTGAATTAAGAGTGAAGCAATCGCTTACTGACCTACCGGATGGATTTCTTGAAATATTGTTGAAAGCTGAAGACAACGGTAGAACTCCTCAAAAATCATTGGCTAAATTAATCCTGTATATAACAAATGACGGTGATCTTTTAAAAATGAACACTCCGGAAAAATTACTAGCCTTTTATCAAAAAGAAAAACATACAAAGCTACTGAATGCCCAGCTCCTTACATTTGGAAAATTTAATGAAATGATTCCTTCACTGATGAATTCAGATTCTAGTAGTTTGTATATACGTCGTACTGTAGGACAACAAGATAGAGGGAGTGTCAGGCATTTATCAATTGTAATTGGTGCTTCAATAATTGGTGCTATCACTGTCATCTGCTTAGTTGCTTTATTAATTGGCTTAAAGTTCACTACACGTTTTCGAAATCGTTCAAAATTCATATCGACTACAAGAATCAATAAAAATGACTACAATCCAAAGAAGAAGAAGAAGAAGATTGAGTCTGCTAACAGTTGTATAAAACACGTATCTCATCATTCGTGCATAAACTCTGACATCCCAGGAGAAATAATACCTAATGATTTGAATAGTATTCACAGCTTGATGAAATGTATGCATAAAATAGAAATAAATGACTCAAATAACGAAAAATTATTTACGCCATCATTAACTCAAAACTATTTCCGATGTTCTCCAACTTCTATTCAAACGAGTATACCAGTGAGTATGATAAGAAATCCTGATGATATTCATTATTTGCCAATCCATTCAACGCTAGATTTAACTGAGAATATTCCTTTAAGACTTCTGCATGTATCCAACGACAAGCTTACTGAATCTCAATGTTCCAATTCCAATACTAATCATAAAAACAATGAGAACGGTGATACCAGTGATAATAATACTACTACTAATAATAATAATATCGACAGTAGTGCTAACGAATTAGTGACACCACATTCCCTTACAATCATTGCTTCAGTTGTACCTACATGTAATATAAAAACAGCTTTACTTCCAATCCTATCACAAGATCATTGTAGTGACCTGATGACATCTAGTGGGATAACTTTGCTGAATGAAGAAGATATTATCAAGGTGGGAAATTTATCACATTCCACAACAACAGGTTATACCGATTTTCCCGCGTGTATTTTCTCAACAACAACAGCAATTACTGCTACTACAAATACCTCATAATATATAAATGCATGTATACTGAACATAATTTAGTCAAAATACTGTTGAGAAGACAAACCAACCGACCAACGATCTCGCATGCTACACTACGCTGTTCAATCATTTCCAAAAATGGTATCTTTTTCATGCATATTTTTATTAGGCTTTTAAGAGTAATATTGATGTATATGTAGTTAGTGAGATATGTAACTTTATGTGTGTATGTATAGAACGAAGTATGTTGTTTTCAAGTGATTTATTTGTGTA